CTCCCAGATACTCTCAATACAGGTTCTAAACTTTAACTATGTTAGAAAAATCAGCTTCTGAACCTGAAAACTATTCCCCCTTGAAAAGAATGTAAAAACCAAACATAATGTGAGCCTTTTGAGATTGGAGTTCTGCATGCAGTGAATAAATGTAATTTGTTTTTTTAATTATTTCAGTTCTCCTGATATTGCACTGTCAGCATGTTTCCTTCTGCAACAATGCGCTGTGAAGTTCCTTAAAGCAAACAATGGAACAATCGTATATTTGAAGATATAACAACATGAATATAGCTCACGGGTTTTTTCTCCCTTGAAGTCTGTATCTTCTCAGATACTACTAGACACCTGGTGATGATGTTGCACTGGGACTTGACAATAATCTGTTGACACATCGTAAACATCAGGTGCCTGGAAGTATTAAGAATGATCTGCAGTTTATCCTAAAATGTTATAGGATTGTCTACTTCAGCAACTGTAACAATTCCCAGCTTGATTCTTTCTTGTAAAATGGTTTTTTTCTTTTCTTCTTCTTCTTCTTCTTCTTCCTCTTTTTGTCTGTACAATAAATTCTGTGACCACAGTTTCCCCATTCTGTCTCACTTGATATATTTACAAATCTCTCCATACTGCATCACAAGTATAATAATAAATATTCTCTATGATCATCAACACTCCTTGCATATGTAGATAGTTTTCTGTACTACTGTCATGTCACTTTAAAGAACCTATTTCTGCGGGTTTCCCTTTATACATCCACTCTTTCATCTACTGGAAACTTGAAGAAAAAGAAATTGTGGCTTTTTTCCCAGCCATACTGTTTGCCTGTTTCCTGCTAGCATGAATTGCTTACACACTTAACTACAGAAGTTTTTGATAGGGCTGAACATGAACATATGTACTTGTAGAATACCAAGAAAAATCCGTCTGTTACACGATGAAGGGCTTGGATGGAAGTTTGAGCTAATATGTCCATGAAATGTATACCTTTTGTCCTCTATATGAACCATTTACAATTTTGGTTTTGTAAATAAATTGTGTTTTTATAAACACCTGCCATCGCATGTATGTCTAAATATATTTAAGCTAAATTATTCTTTAAAACCATTATTCCTTTAGGATAGATACAATGTGCTGGCAGACTTGTTAAATAACTGTGTAAGATGTATTTGTGTAGAGTAGGTGTCCTAACTATGCCTGGTAAAATAATAGTCTCTATATGTCATCCTATCAACTAATTAATCTATAGAATATAAATGGCCTGATTTTCAGAGTTGCTGAACACCTGCAACTCTTAAAGAAATCAATTGGGGCTGAGTTCTCAGTGCCCTGCATAGCCATCCAACATTTTACATGTACCTAATACAGGAAATTTAAAGATTTGCATTATGATTGTACAAAATCCCACTAATTCACTCTAGCTACTTATTCTCCTATCGCAAACTACTGAAATTTACTCTCAAATTAGTGAGCAAATGGACAGTTAAAACATAAAACTAAAGCATTGCAGAATGTGTTTAATTTGGGAAAAGACTGTACCACCTCATTCAAACTGAGCAGTATTTACTTAGCAGCTATTCTTATTGGGCCAGGTTCTAATTAACCATAGCCACACTATAAGTATCAATTTTCTCCAGGTATCCATTACATTGGATGGATCTACAAGTGAGATAAGATGCTATGCACATGAATAAAGATATTACATTTGATTCTGACCTATTGACTTCAGTCTGGGAGGAAATCCACAATAAAAAGGTAAGAATGGGAAAATCTGGCCCTTAATGATTAGACAGCTGTAATATTGATTTAATTATTTATAATATTTGTTAGTGTACTAGTTAATATTATGTAATGTAGTGCATTTTTAAATATACAAAATCTGAGCAGAACCTCACTAGAGAGCTGTCATGAAATCCTTTCTGAGAAACAGAAAGAGAGCTGTTTGATTGTGTAAGTGAGAAAGTAAGAGATTAATATTGTTCCATTATACATATATATGAAAAAACTAAACTGAATATTCACTGGAGAAAATACTTACAAAATAGCTTAGCTTTCACCTGGCAATGAGCAAATTCTGCATTTTTCATTAGTTAATGAAAATGGACAATAACCCAGATATTTGGAAACTCTCTTCTTTTTACTGGTTTCCTCTTTTGCTTCCTCAGCATAGGTTATTTACCTAGAAGTAGGTTTTATATCAGTGAATTAGGATCCATTGGATCCAGATAGAAAGCCTGATCCTGAACTCATGAAAAACTTCCACTGACTCCAACGAGAGCTTTAATGAGTCCAGAATCAGACACAAAGAAGCATGTACTTTCTGATCTTAAATGCAGAGTTGATATATAATACCTAATTTGAAAATGGGGAGAGAAAGAAGGCAAGATAATATAAAATTCCATTTTTGTGGCATGTAAGTTCTGTATCTAACTGTGGTGGAGACATGCATTTTCCCCCCACGTAGTTCTGCTAACGCAAACCCCTGATACTGTAAATGTGGGCATATTCAGAACAGGGTGCCACAACTAAGTTAAAACAAATATGCTGTTTATGTTTATGTAGTGAGTAATTAATTTAAGTCCACTTGTGACCTAAACTAAATTTGATACAGCTTTCCATAAATGAGTGTTTTTAACCCACTAGCCGTACCACCATGCTCCAAAACAATGTGTACAGATATTCAGGAAAACAGAAAGTTACATATTAGGTATTAGGGTTCATGCTATCAGGAATTAGGGTTAAGATTTTCCACAGTCATCACAACAAAACTTTCACAGAAACCACAACACACACCTTTTTTAAGGGAGGAAATTTCTCTTTCAGTTTTATATTAATCTCAAGAAGAATCATGATTGATATTATACAGTGAACACTGCAAAAAGGAATATTTATGACTGGGATTTTTTACACTACAGTTGAATCTTTACTATTCAGTAGCATTAATACATGTATTAACTGCTTTATATAGCTATTACATGGTTGCAAGAGAATATAATTTTCTGTTTTAGTAATTATTACACTCATCACTTGGGAGAAAATAGTTCTGTATTCTGACCACTTCACTTTACAGTAAAAGAAATTACATAACTTAAACAAGAACCACTGAAAGTTATTTGTCTTTCAAAATAGGAATTATAAACAAAATTATTTTTGGTGTTGCCCTAAACTAATAATCTTCCTGAAGTGTCACTTTTTGTTAAACTCCATTTCATATTTTAAAGAATACTCAGCCACCTAATTGATAGCAACACAAATTCATGTTAAGTAGAAAATGAATTCCTTTCTGTTACACAACTCAATAGTTGGATGAAAAATAGTTCACAGTGACCTTGGACACAAGGCATTTTTCTGAAGTTATTAAAACATACAACCAGAATGGATCAATTATTGGCTACCTCTCTTGAGACTATTAGATGCCACTGAAAACTAGTAAATTTAGTGTTCACAAAACTGCATCATTTGAAGTCTCAAATGCATTATGAATTTCCTTTTGATATATCAAGTGTCTACAGTGAAACTTTTTCTCATTAGTTGGTAACACAAAATGAGTCTGTGTCACTTTTGATACAGTCAGCTCATTCCGATATGACTCAGAACAGCATATTAGGAGAACCACAGGCCAAAACAGATATGACACTTCAGATATATTTAATAATCATTACGCAGAGCCTGCGTTCAATGAAAACTTTTAAAGTCGCTTTGGAGCATACCTGTAACATTTGAACATTAAGCCATAGTAATCAAAGAATACTTTAAATTAGATCAATTAGGGCCAGATTCTTCTTTCAGTTTCATGGTACAAACACACTTCTTCTGAATACTCCTTCTATGTTTGAACTTTAAACTACACACAACCTACTAAGTTGTTCTTGTAATTAAATATTGAACTCAATCCATGGTCCCAAATTCTGTCATCATAAAAGTTAATGGGGTGATGGGTGATACTGAAGGCAGAATGTGGCCCACTACTCTATTTTTTTAAATGAGCTTTGATTTAAAAAAAAAAGCAGCATGTTAAGTCTTTCATTATAAAGCAATAATCAATACTGATTCAGGCTACTGGAAATCTGTTGTTACAAAATAAGATTTGAGTTTTGTTAACCCACCCGGGGGGGGGGGGGGGGGGAGGAAGTATACCATACATTTTAATCTAGTTAAGACAACTTTCCAAGACTGAAAGTTGTATTGTTTTAAGGGAAGAAAAATAATTAATGGGGCCTCAAATTATACTGTTCTGTGTCAAAGATAAAAATATATGCATATATGTTCTAAAAAAAAGAAATTAAAAAAATAAAAAGCATACATCTTGGAAATAGCTCATATTACATACAGGATTGGAAGGCTATATACACTATTGTAACAGATTTCCTCAGAGGGGAAATATGTGTCCTTATTGTGTACATTTTCTGCCATGTCCTGTTGGTTACAGAAGCAGACATAACTTCTTCAAATATCCCCACCCCATCTGTACCCCAAACAAAAGTACAGTGAAACCTGTGGAAGAGACCACCTTTATTAATTGTTTGCAGTGCTGTAGCCATGTTGGTCCCAGGTTATGAGAGAGACAAGGTGGGTGAGTTTGCCATTCCCGGACTTGAAGAGAAGTTCTGTGTAGCTTGAAGGACTGTCTTCTTCACCCACAGAAGCTGGTCCAATGTGTTACCTCACCATCCTGGTCTCTCTCACCTTTATTAGGCAATTTCCATTTTAGGAGACTACCCCCAAAGTTTTAGGCTCAACTGTGTTCTCACGTACACCAACGTTACCCTAGTGGTGATTCCATTAATGTCAGTGGAATAACTTTTGATTTACACTGGAGACACCAGCATGAGAACAGAATCAGATCCCTCAAGTATAGTCTGCATCACCTTTATTTCAATAAGTCCACCTGTCTGAAGTGACTAATTTTTGTTGGTGCCTTACAGCAGGTTTCACTGCAGACAAAATGTAAAGTTTAAACCAAGGTCTAAAGTGAGGTCCAGGTTATTCTAAAAGTCTCCTACCTGAATTATGGACATCCGGCTCGGGGGAGCCTCGTTGGCGTTAGTCCCTTGCCCTGTGAAGCTGGTGTGGCAGCCCACATGTCCCTGGGGCACAGTCAGGTTGTTGGAGGCAGGTTTCAGATACATCACCTCAGACCTGGGTGAGCTGAGGGGCAGGCGGGTCTGGTAGTCAAAGTACATGGGTGAGGTGGCCAATGATGGGCTGCTCACTACGTTCATGACATTGAGGGGGCCTCTGCTATCCTCACCCTCACTGGGCACCAGCATGATGTCATTCTTGCTGATCTTCTTCTTCTTGCCCTTGCCCCCACCACTGCCTCCTCCTGCTCCTCCCCCACCGCTAACACCCCCTCCTCCCAGCTGGGGATGGCTGTACTCAGCAATGCGGCAGTTGTAGGTGCGAATCTCCTTGTTCTCCCGCTTGCACTTCACAGCAATGGTGATCATGGCAGCTAGTAGAATGATGGAGACAGTACTCAAGGTCACAATCAAGGGCAGCGACAGGTCCCAGTGTGGTCGCCGGTGTTGCTCTCCATTCACCTGTGGCTCACCAGCTTCAGGCAGAGGTCCAGCCAAGGCCCTGACAATCAGCTTGGCCACGGCTGAGAGGCTTGGTTTGCCATGGTCACTGACTTTGACTACCAATTCAGCCACAGGACTGAGTTCTTCCCAGTATGGGTGCAAAGTACGTATCTCACCACTTGTGGGGTCCATCTCAAAGAGGTGCTCCTCATTGCCTTCAACGATCTCGTATGTTAGGCGCCCACTTTCCCCGAAGTCACTGTCCAGGGCATGCACAGTGCCCACGGGGTAGCCCACACCAGCATTGCGTGGCACCTGTAGCTCCGCCGTGTCATTGATGAGGGCAGGCAGGACAATGAGGGGTGCGTTATCGTTGACGTCGAGCACTGTAACGCGCACGGTGGCATTGCTCTCGCGGTGGGGCGAGCCCGAGTCCTTGGCCAGCACGCGGAACTCAAAGTGCTTGGTTTGCTCATAGTTGAAGCTCCGCAGGGCATAGATGGCGCCGTTGGTGGGGTTGACGGAGACGTAGGTGTAGATGGAGACATCGCCCACATGCCCGGGCAGGATGGAGTAGGACACAGTCCCATTCTGGCCCAGGTCTGGATCCTGGGCCAGCACAGAGCCCAGGTACTCCCCAGGGATGTTGTTCTCAGGCACCTGCAGGACATAGAGGCTCTTGCTGAAGCGGGGTGGGTTGTCGTTTTCGTCCAGGATCCGCACAGAGAAGGATTTGGTGGAGTTGAGCGGGGGATTGCCCCCGTCCCGGGCCAGGATGGTGACATTGTACTCGTCCTGCGCCTCGCGGTCCAGCGGCCGGTCGGTCACCACCGTGTAGAAGTTGTCGTAGTTCTCCTCCAGAGCGAAGGGCACTGCGCCAGCCCCACCGCCCCCCAGTACCCGGCACTGCAGTTGCCCGTTCTTGCCGGAGTCGCGGTCGGTGACCCGCACCAGGGCGATGACGGTGCCCGGCGGGGCGGCCTCACTGAGCGCCCCCTGGCGGACGGAGACGAAACCGATGGCGGGCGCGTTGTCGTTGCGGTCGATGAGGCGCACGGTGACCTTGCAGTGGGCGGGGATGGGGTTGGGCCCCAGGTCGCGGGCCTGCACGTCGATCTCGATGAGGCCGCTCTCCTCGTAGTCCAGGTTGCCCTTGACGCGGATGAGGCCGCTCTGCGGGTCGATGCTGAAGAGGTCGCGCACGCGCTCGGGCGCGTAGCCGCTGAAGGAGTAGAGCACCTCGCCGTTGGTGCCCTCGTCGGCGTCGGTGGCGGTGTGGTCGATGAGC